TAGTCCGATATTTTATTTTATTTTGAACGTAATTGGCTTGTAGCCTATATTTGCCTTTTGGCGGCATATGCCTTGAGTATGTGTTGACCGACTGACCGAATTGTTTAGCCCTTAATGAAGAATCCAGATTAAGTTGCTCTTTCATTGCATTGACTTATTGCAAAGGTTTGAGCTTCAAAGAGACAAACTGCAGCAAGTTGTTTCCCTGGATCATTATTATAGATTTTTCAGACACGTTTCTGAAGCAGGAGAGAATATTTAGTTCAATACGCGTCTAGGCGGTTGTATAATTAAAGACTAAAGCTCACTGTAAGGAACTATACCGAGTGTGTACCTTTCCTCAATGATGAGCAAGAAAAGGAAGCTAAGTCTTCGCTTGAAGATCCCTACGGGTAAGTCAAGTCAGTCATTCATTTATGTCAGATACTAGCGTAATGACATCAGTCATTCATTTATGTCAGATACTAGCATAAAGTGAAGTCGGTCATTCATTTATGTCAGATACTAGTGTAAAGTGAGATCAGTCATTCATTTATGTCAGATACTAGTGTAAAGTGACATCAGTCATTCATTTATGTCAGATACTAGTGTAAAGTGAGATCAGTCATTCATTTATGTCAGATACTAGTGTAAAAGGAGATCAGTCATTCATTTATGTCAGATACTAGTGTAAAGTGAGATCAGTCATTCATTTATGTCAGATACTAGTGTAAAGTGAGATCATTCATTCAGATTTATGTAAAGTGAGATACTAGTGTGTATTAAGTAGTGAGATCGGTCATTCATTTATGTCAGATACTAGTGTAAAGTGAGATCAGTCATTCATTTATGTCAGATACTAGTGTAAAGTGAGATCAGTCATTCATTTATGTCAGATACTAGAATAAAGTCAAGTCAGTCATTCATGTCAGATACTAGTATAAAGTCAATTCAGTCATTCATGTCAGATACTAGTTTAAAGTGAGATCAGTCATTCATTTATGTCAGATACTAGTATAAAGTCAAGTCAGTCATTCATGTCAGATACTAGCACAGTGTAAGATCAGTCATTCATTTATTTCAGATACTAGCATAAAGTGAGATCAGCCATTCATTTATGTCAGATACTAGCATAAAGTGAAGTCAGTCATTCATGTATGTCAGATACTAGCATAAAGTGAAGTCAGTCCTTCATTTGTCAGATACTAGCATAAAGTGGTCATTCATTTATTTATGTCAGATACTAGTAAGTCAGTCAGTCTTCATTCACATTAGATAACCAGCATAAAGTCAGTCTAATCATTCATTTATGTTAGAAACTAGCATAAAGTTGAATTAGTTAAGTCAATCACTCATGTTAGATACTAGCATAGAGAGGAATAGTTGGCCGAGTGGTTACAGCGTCAGCCTCTCATGCAGGAGGACTGGGTTCTTTATTTTTCTAAGTGCTAGGAATGCAGATGAATCATCACTGTTTTATGTCAGATGCTGGGAATTTCAAGATGCTCATCATACAAGACAGCAGAGCATATAAAAAGTCCGCTGATTATGCTAGTCACATTTTGGGTTGTATTTATCCGTTAAGAGAGACTTTGGTCGAAACGTTCCGTTATATTTGTGCGCGGAAAAGACTTTGGTCGAACGTTCCGTTATATTTCTGCGCGGAAAAGACTTTGGTCGAAACGTTGTGCGCGGAAAAGACTTTGGTCGAAACGTTTATTTTATATCTGCGCGAATTCCTTCAGTTCCTTCTTCGGTTTAGCTTTCGAGGTATGTTTCTTTATTTTTCTACAGAACAGCTTGACTACACGTGCTCCTGTTTAAGGGAGTATACATTTCAATGATGAAATCAGATGACAGTACCTTTCCATGTGGGTTTGCGACCCCGGAATGGGGGGGGGGGGGAGTAGACTGTCTATTTTTAACAAGTATGTCATGAACTAATTATGAATTTCCTGAAATCGCCATTGCCCGGCTGGCTAGAAATGACTGCGCGGCAACCGGGTGACGAACTCCTTGTGTTCCAGATTCACGCCCGAGGGTAGGCAGAAAAGCCATATTTTCTCCCAGATTCTACGTATCTATCATGGAATTAAGGCTGAAGGGTTGCGATATCCATAGTACCGAGCCAGGTTTTAAGGCTTTGAACCACGGATCAACATCATGGTACACGGGTAGTAACCCATAAATGCTCCGTTCTTTATTTAAACTCAGGTCTGAGTCAGAAGAAGCTCAGCACAGTGCTCAGGCTCTGTAGCACCAGCGAGGATCCTGAAATACTTTAGAATAGATTTTTAACTCCAAATTTTTCCCGGGCAGCGCCGTTAGGCTACTCTTTTCGATGTCCAACTGCCAATATATTTTTAACGTGCGCAACAATGCACACGGGCGTCCGATCTCACTTCCCAGAGACCGGGGGAATTACTGGAAGTCAAAATCCACGTGAAAAGATCGCAGCCCTTACCGAGGATTGAATCCCGAACCTCTAGCACTCGAGGCGGATACCATGCCTTAAGCCCACTCACACCCCCAACCCCCCCCCCCCTCCCACCCCACCCCACCCTACACTAGCGAGCCAAAGAGTTAACAGCTCATGGTTGTGGATCGGTAAACCACAAGACAGCATGTCAACCAGCATGCTAGTATTAGATGTCTTCCTTGTCTATCTGGCCGAACAGGTCGTGTCTGTCTCATTGTGCAGATTTGGATCTGAGAAGGTGATGTGTTCCCTATTGTGCTATGCGTTGGTGGTGTTACTGCCATTGATTAAGTTGTCTCCTGAGGTATTCGTCGTGATATTGCTGTACCAGTTCTTGTTGTTTTAGCAGCTGTCGTGGCTGTTGTTCCGCTATTAGGTCCTCCATTGCTGGTCGCGATTTTGACCAGGCCTCGTCAACGTTGTCGGTATATCGTCTTCGTCCATATCGCCATCCTGTTGCTTGCTTGGGAATTGTTCCCATGGACCAGGTGTATTCTGTTGTACTTTCGTTGGATAATCGCCTCTTGATATGCTGCCAGTCGTCGTTACTCCTTGTGCCATTTATCTAAAGTCTGCTTTGAAAGTTTAACTAGCTCTCTCGTGGTTTTCTTTGGTACAACCGATCTGCCTCTCTCACCTGGTCTAGGCTTCAACTTTTGAGTTCGAGTTTCTTTCGTGTTTCTTTCCGGTTTTTGGGGACCATTTCCACCACGCTGTGTATTCTTCGTTGGTTCTTTGTCATTGTGTAAAGCCATTATTTCATATTTAAAATCTTCCATTGAATCTACCTCTTTCGAGATTTGACTTTGGATTTCTTGCGTCGTCTTCGGGATTTTTCTGATCTCCGCCATTTCCTTGTTTATCTGTGCATGCTGTAAGACCCTGCTTCTTTGTCTCTGAGGATTTTTATTTCACAATCCAGATTCATAATAGGACCTTGAAGCCATTTAGGCAGATGCACGGCGACTTAGAAGGAAACTTCGATTCTTTCTACTTTAGCCTATGGCCGGGTTAGCGGAGTACGTACGAGACTCACTTTCAAATCCAGCTGCGACTCGCTGCAGCCACGGTCGGTGTTCGAAACCGGGCGGTTCCCGAGGTTCACCCAGCCTCTACGTAATAGGTACCAGAGTTGACACTCTGAGCTAAACGGAGGAACGTCGCTGTAACTACGGAGTTACGTGCAGACGGTGACACTGGCGGGCAGTTTCTTATCAGTCCGTACTGGTGGCAGAGCACTAATGGTTTATAACCGTGTGTAATGACGCTGGTTCACATCTCCCGACTTACCTTTTTACCCCAGTAAGGAACCTGTACTTAGGATGATCGCAATACATGACCAAGTGACATGTCCAGGACTAGGCTGTTGTGATCCGAAGACTAGGATCGTATAACAAGGCTTAACGTTTATCACATACATAACTTACAATATTGCCCTTGCTGTCTTTACTGAGGGAAGTAAGGAATAGTCTCACTGCCTTTCCACCCTCCACCGCCAAAACAAGCATGTTGTTTGTATAAGGCGACCAATAGAAAGTGTGTCCTTCGCCCTTGCAGTGCATCTGCCTGAGAGGCAACGAACCAACAAAAAAGCCAGATCTGTAACGGATGCCCACATAAAACTAAAGTTCTGGAACCAGATCAAAGTCCAGAATCGGACCAGAACTTTCTGCCGGAGTTTACAGCCGTGAATGCCTAGAAGGAGATTTGATCATTTTGGCGATCAGACTGATCTCTCTCCCCCCCCCCTCCCTCTCTCTCTCTCTCTCTCTCTCTCTCTCTCTCTCTCTCTCTCTCTCTCTCTCTCTCTCTTTCTCTCTCTCTCTCTCTCTCTCTCTCTCTCTCTCTCTCTCTCTCTCTCCAGACAGACTATAGTTTATTTGGTTAATTTATGCAAAAAAAACCCTCACTTAATGACTCATTACTATTTAAATGTTTCTGTTTCTAGAATTCAGTGTAGTGTTTAAATAAATTGCTACCAGGCTGTAGTCAGCCAGTCACGTGATTACAGACATTACCACACAAACACACGGGAATTTACGAGGTCAGCGCTAAGCTGTATCGATCTGAAGGATAGAGTACCGAATCCTTAGTCTGCAAAATTGTGTAAATAAAAATGTTGATGTAAGGAAAGTCAGCAGTACATTAAATTTACTCAGGGGTTGTTGGTGTTGTTGTTGTTGCTGCTGCTGTTGTAATAAGGCAATGAGGGTACAGACGGCGCCAGGGGGTGTTTATGACGCGTATAAGGGCGATTCTAAAAGTGGGTGAAAGCTACAGGTAAGGCGGCACAAAATGAACAAGGACGCCCGCATACCTTGTCGTCAATTGTCTATGTAAGATAATTTCTTCTTTTTCGCGCTTAAACCATCGGCGGAAAATCTTGTTCGTCCACTTCTGGACTTTGGCCTGGTTCCGGGACTTGGGTTTTGTCTGCGCGGCCATTTTATTGAACTGGCTTAATTGTGTACAGACTGTACCTCGCCTTTCAGCAGATGCACTTCTAGCCATTTAATGATGTCAAAACAAACCGGACAGTCAGAACAAACCGGACAGTCAGAACAAACCGGACAGTCAGAACAAACCGGACAGTCAGGACAAACCGGACAGTCAGAACAAACCGGACAGTCAGAACAAACCCGACAGTCAGAACAAACCCGACAGTCAGAACAAACCCGACAGTCAGAACAAACCCGACAGTCAGAACAAACCCGACAGTCAGAACAAACCCGACAGTCAGAACAAACCCGACAGTCAGAACAAACCCGACAGTCAGAACAAACCGGACAGTCAGAACAAACCGGACAGTCAGAACAAACCGGACAGTCAGAACAAACCGGACAGTCAGAACAAACCGGACAGTCAGAACAAACCGGACAGTCAGAACAAACCGGACAGTCAGAACAAACCGGACAGTCAGAACAAACCGGACAGTCAGAACAAACCGGACAGTCAGAACAAACCGGACAGTCAAAACAAACCGGACAGTCAAAACAAACCGGACAGTCAAAACAAACCGGACAGTCAAAACAAACCGGACAGTCAAAACAAACCGGACAGTCAAAACAAACCGGACAGTCAAAACAAACCGGACAGTCAAAACAAACCGGACAGTCAAAACAAACCGGACAGTCAAAACAAACCGGACAGTCAAAACAAACCGGACAGTCAAAACAAACCGGACAGTCAAAACAAACCGGACAGTCAAAACAAACCGGACAGTCAAAACAAACCGGACAGTCAAAACAAACCGGACAGTCAAAACAAACCGGACAGTCAAAACAAACCGGACAGTCAAAACAAACCGGACAGTCAAAACAAACCGGACAGTCAAAACAAACCGGACAGTCAAAACAAACCGGACAGTCAAAACAAACTGGACTGATCTCTAAACCCCACCTCCCCTCCCGCCCCGTCCCCCTTAATCGAAGTTATAATTAGGACGCCTGCAACTAACAAAGTTAATAAACAATTTAGATGGATAGGAACGAGTCAGTGAGCCCTACGATGCACCAAGCAATTTGTTAGTTGCAGGTCTAAATTCACGGCAGAAAACGGGTCCCACCATAATTGTCCTATTCCTGTGCCATGATTTCTCTATCTCTCCCCCCCCCCCCCCATTTCTTATCTTAGCTAAAATATTATAGTGTGTGTGTGTGCTGTGGTGTATCGGCTAGACGCTTGCCTACGGATCGGAAGACCATGGGTTCAAGTCCTAAATGTGGTGGCGGCTCGAAAAAGGCTGGGAACCGCTGCTTAACACAAAGTTGTAAATCAGCCATAACATAAGCATTTACTGGCTGGTTAGTTTTGCTAGGCTGTTTTATGTTCAGGTAGTTCCCCATTGTTTTCGGCTGACTAGCCGAGTGGTTAGCGCGCTATATATTCGCGTGGTAGACTCGGGTTCAGTCCTCAGTAGAGCATTGAGATATATTTTTTTCTGGGGAAGGGGGGGGGGGAAGGAGGAGGGGGGGGGATAATGTACGATTCGAGGTCACTGCCCTGGCCAGGCAACCTTAAATCTGCGGGTCCATCATGAACATTGTAAACTCAGTCAGTAAAGACAGTAGACTGGTTCTAAATGCTTCGACGGTCAGATCATTGTCGAAATCAACGCAAAGCGGTCTGCTGTCAAAGGTTTTAATCAAGAGGATCGACTTCAATGCATAGCACGGGCTTTTATCACTTGTTTTGCTGCGCCCTTTCCGAGAACTGCCCAGAGCCTCCCTCAAAGCAACAATTACACCAGTGAACGGAAAGACGCAGCCGTTACACGAATCCACGACCTTCAGAGCGTGAGGCAAACGGTTTGACCATCTAGTCACGGCGACTCCAGGTCTGCTACCACATCGCATGCCGCGGACTTCCGACCCTGGTAATCTAGAATAGTGAAATTGTTCATGGGCCCCCCAAGCCAAAGACACCAACGATCGAGAGATACACAAGTTCTGGAGAGTCAGCGAGCCTGACAAGTAACGAGCCGTGGAGATCCGCTGCGAGAAAAAATCCAGATGGTTGCGAAGATGGCACCTGATCAGAGATCTATGAGGACACGTTTCTAGCTGTGCATATAACAGGAACTAATGGAGAAAATCTAGAGCATCTCCTTGGCAACAGTATAAACATCTTGTCAATGCTGATGACTCAGTATTTTAAACGGATCATCGGTGAGCAATAGGCACATGAACTCAATCGATTACACGTGAATGATTAAAGATAAACACAGCTGCTTGTCTTCCCCGACGTTTGGGACTGACCTGTAACCTGTTAACTGAACAACTTCGGCCATATTAAACGATTTGATGATTTGGAAAGAACAGTAAAAGGGGTGTTGGAGGGTGGGGGTGGGGAAGAGAATGTAATTTCTGAAGCAAATCGCGGTAGAGTAGCAGCTAGACGCTCGCTTTTCGACTCTTAACGGCTTGGGTTCGACCTAGCACCCCCAGCTGCTAAAAGTGCCCTTTGTCCCCAGTGCGACCATTACCTTAAATGGATGCAAGGTAGTGTCATGGGAAGTAAATGCGGCCGGCGAGACTATATTACCGACTGAGTGCCGATTGATCTATTAAAAATAGCTTTCATCACATACCCGATGGCTGCCTGCACAAACAGAGCGGGTACTTTACTCATGGAAATGGTTCCTAGCAGAAGAGGCACGGAAAGACTATCATGAAGGTGGGCACATTTATCAAGAACACCCTGGTTGTGAAAGGTGAGACTTTGTCCATGTGGACAAGCACCTCAGAATACTGACCATGTTCTTACGGCATTTTAGTGCACGTCCGGTTGTCTGGACCATTGGAAGACATTCATCACATCACCGACTTTATAGAGGCATTTCGTTATCCCACCTGAAAACGTCAGGGATAACCCCAAAAAAAAAAAATAAGAAGAAGAAAAGAAAGTTATATAAGCTGGAGGAATATTTTCGCAGATACGATATGGCTTTCTGACGTGCCTTAATAGGAGCAGCACTGCAAAGCGCTCCTTACACAGTCATGCATTTTCATGTCTGGTAATTGTTATGTGGTTTGTTGCTTTATGTTGAGTCTGCTAATGGTGTCTTGTAGATGTTTAGTGTTAGTCTCCACAATTCCTTGAATTTTTCCTTGATTGGTGTGCTGTTTCTCCTTGGTTCAGTTTTTAGCAAGTCTGCATAAGTAAAGGAGACTCTTGTCCAGGTCTTAGATGTATTGCGCATAGCGGGCTAGACCAATCGGCACTCGGTAGATTATGTGGTCATTACCACGCCCGCCGCCTTTACTTCACAAGGAACCAAAGTCATTTTTGGTTTTTAAAAAGTCAAGTCTCTGTCAGGGCTCGAACCCACGACCCTCCAATCCGCAGGCTAGTATGAGTCTCTATATTGAGTTTAACAAATTTGGACAACAAGAAAAAGAAAAATATAACACATGGGATGCTTGCTTGCACAGCGTATTTAATATAATAAAAAGAGACGGGGAAAAGCACTTTCTTGTGATAAAAACATTATTAGGCCACTGCAAGACAGCACAGAAAAGTTTTTTTGTTGAAGAAAAGATAGTGTGTTGAAAAATGGGTTGCAGCAGAACATAGGAATTTTTATATCGGGAAATACAGAACAGCGTGTTTTAATATACGGGAATAATGCCAACGGGTGTTTTTAGTTAAGGAAATACGCGTTCTTTGTGGCACTGTTGAATATTAACACACAGGCAGCCAATGGAGTTAAGAGAGAGAGAGAGAGAGCGAGCGAGAGAGAGAGAGAGAAAGCGAGAGAGAGCGAGAGAGCGAGCGAGAAGAGAGAGAGAGAGAGGGGGAGAGAGAGATAGAGAGAGAGAGAGAGAGAGAGAGAGAGAGAGAGAGAGAGAGAGAGAGAGAGAGAGAGAGAGAAGGTGGATGAACAAGATTTAGACGAAAGAGAATGCAAAACAGAATCAATTGGAAGTTTAGAAGAGAGGATAATTTAGAAATAATAACTGAAAGCAAGATACTGGGAGTCACCGTAGCCGAGCCGCTAGACGCTCGCCGCGGATCGGAAGGTCGTGGGTTGGCTCCCTGGCGGAGCCGGACTTTTTTCAAAAAATGACCTTGTCTCCCAGGTCTGAGGACCCAGCCTTGAGTGGGTACCGGGTGCAGTCCCGGGAAAGAAAAGGCGGCCGGCGTGATGCTGACCACATCACTCATCTTGTGCCGACTGTTCTATAAAAATACAGGTCTAGCACTCTATGCCCTATACGCCTAAAGGCGTGGAAAGGGTCCTTTACTTTTTACTATTACAAGATACTAGGGAGGGAGGGGATATGAAATTGGCAAGAAAAGATGAAACTCAGAAAACCCGGTGGAAAATTCGCGGTTTGTAAAAAAAAAAAAAAAGTTCATGCATATATGTTGCATTCTTTTTTCCTGACTTCATTTTCACAGTATAATTCGGTCATGGTCTCACGTGGTGTAATCAATATCTGAACTAGCAGTAGTTTTGTTGGTTTATGTTGGCTGGGTCCAGGGTATTTGGTTTTGTGTTGCTTATGTAACTAATTCCTATATAAGCAACACAAACTAAATATCCGGACCTAGTGTATTACATGCATTGGTTCCTTTATTCCATCTCATATCGGGATATTCTTTCTTAAAGTCGTAATACGAAATGCCCTGTTAATTTCATGTGACCTCACTTGAGCATATGACACACCGAGTGTCGACTGCTCTGTCGAAATGCTTAATTAGCACCCATATGTTCAGTACACATCTATACCTTGCACTGGAACCGTCCTTACGTTGTCTCCTATGGGCTCCTCCCTAAATGGTTAACCACCCAGAGACGACAGCAGTCTGTCTGGATGATAGGCCATCAGGGCAAATCATAGACACACTGTTACGGACAAATCCTATATTTACCGCTACGGCCAAATCCTAGATACGCCGTTACGGCCAAATCCTAGATACGCCGTTACAGCCAAATCCTAGATACGCCGTTACGGCCAAATCCTAGATACGCCGTTACGGACAAATCCTAGATACGCCGTTACGGACAAATCCTAGATACGCCGTTACGGCTAAATCCTAGATGCGCCGTTACGGCTAAATCCTAGATACACCGTTACGGCTAAATCCTAGATACACCTTTACGGACAAATTCTAGATACACCGTTACGGACAAATCCTAGATACACCGTAACGGACAAATCCTAGATACACCGTAGCGGACAAATCCTAGATACACCGTTACGGACAAATCCTAGATACACCGTTACGGACAAATCCTAGATACACCGCTACGGCCAAATCCTAGATACACCGCTACGGCCAAATCCTAGATACACCGCTACGGCCAAATCCTTGATTACCGTTACGGCTAAATCCTAGATACACCATTACGGCTAAATCCTAGATACACCATTACGGCTAAATCCTAGATACACCGTTACGGACAAATTCTAGATACACCGTTACGGACAAATCCTAGATACACCGTTACGGACAAATCCTAGATACACTGCTACGGCCAAATCCTAGATACATTGCTACGGCCAAATCCTAGATACATTGCTACGGCCAAATCCTAGATACACCGTTACGGACAAATCCTAGATACACTACTACGGCCAAATCCTAGATACACCGCTACGGCCAAATCCTAGATACACCGCTACGGCCAAATCCTTGATTACCGTTACGGCGAAATTCTAGATACGCCGCTACGGACAAATAACACATGAATTGTCGTGAACCAGCTGGAATACATGCGCCATAAACGTCGCCACATGTGTGTAGAGGAATCAACCCCTATGTAGTTAGTCACACGAATGTACTCCTAATGTGTGTAGTAAACGCATGACCTCTACAATACAGCCTGACTTCGCTGATGATATTTCTCTTCTGTCCCACTCACAGAATTAGATGCAA